AACTGAGATTAATATAAAAATAAGATCATATAAATTTCATAAGATGATACTGATACTTGTAGGTACCTTCTCAGTTGAAATTGAAAATCAAATTAACTTCTCCACACGTGTTTCTGCAAAAGTAAAGACCTTAACAGCGGAGAACAATGCTTAACTCAAATAACGCAACTTAATTATATTCTGGTTGGTCTTCCGTATTTTATAATTACAGCTCGATTATAAGCACAAAATTACATTTCTTAATTACTGGGGATCTTCTGATTAGTCAAAATGATACAATTTACAACGCGCTAAAAAGATCTATCTCATAAGGACACTTATGAAAGCCTGTGCGGCTTTTAACTAATTTTATAATATTTTAACAACTTAAATGTAAAATCTATTATAATTAATGAAATAACAAATAATTGTGTTAAAAATTCATTTTTCATCGGAAAAATTTTTTTGCTTTCAGAAAATATTGTCCATATTCATAAAAACAACTAAAAGCAAATAAAAGCATTTGAAATTAAATAATATATTTGTTTTATTGAGTTTTGTATGTTACAATTCAGAGCTGATTTTCAGGTACTGGGTATCCAATAAAAAACAAAAAAAAACATGATTTGCATTCCTCACAGCCCTGTGCTTTTTAATTATTGTAATCACTAAAACCGATGCGATCGAATTTCTAGCGTTTTCATAAAATTAGTTGGGGGGTTAATAAATATTTTTAAAATATTTCTACCATGACTTTCATAAAAAAAACATATTTATAATAATTTCGATCATCTGTGAATAGTTCCTGAAAGTTTCATTAATATCCGATAATTATTTCTATTTTTGCACGATTTTTCAAATTAATGTGTGTCATACCAAAAAAAACGTGCTAAAATTGTCTGTTATTTACTAGTTCCACTGATACAAATAGAAACAAGGTTTTTTAATCAAAATTTAGAATTTTCTAAAAGGAAAATTTTTAAAATAATTAAAAAAACTTTGGTCTTTTCCTCTAAATAATAACATAAGCATTTAGACAATAAAATTTTGTTTTCGGCAAGGTTGGCGTCTTTTTCATCAAGCTATGCTCTTTTTTTAGCGATTTCGTGGAGGTACCTATATTAAAGGTTCAAACTTGGTTAAGAAAACTTGTCAGTCCTTTCTATTTCTTTAATCTTCCTATTGCTATAAGTCGACTTGTTGCATAAATAGCAGTTTTTCATTAGAATGGACCGAACTTGACGTTCTCATTGAAACTTTTGAGTGTTTGTGTGGATGACGATTAACAAATACCTGATCATCTAAGAAAACTGGTTATTAGCAAAAGGTTGGACATTATTGGATAGTGTTTGTAAAAAGGGTTTTGCTGGATAAGTAGTCTGTTAACTTTTCAAAGCTGAAATATTTAATCACCTTCCTGTGTTGAAATTCCACACCTAAACTGATATTTTTCCCTACGTCTGTTTAATTTTTAATTTATTTTTTAAACAAAATGCTCAACTAATACAAGGCCCAGGACACACGCAAGATAGTGTTATTGACGGATTTTTTTTTTTTTTTTTTTTTTTTTTTTTGTAATCAACTAACCCCAAGCAAGGCGATAGTGTTACTAAGATGTAAGAGGCTACTGGAATTGAAAGAAGGAAAATAATTAGAATCTGAAACGAGGGATAAGCCTCTACTCCTGTTAAAAAAAACCGGGGAGGAGCGTGAAAACCTAAGAGGTGCAGATTATATAGGAAAGACAAGTTGTCCCTTGGTTTTAAGAGGTTAATTTTTAGTCTGCTAGACAACATTGTTAGTCGCTGTTCTATAGGGAGATGTCTGCATGGCTCTCCACCTACCTCTAGTCCTTGCAACTCTCGGCAAGTTCTTTTCCTCTGCTTCCTCCCCCAAACCATGTTCTGTCATCCACCTGCTCAAGCTCTCCAGGTATGTTACGCGCTGCTTTCCCTTGTCTCTTTCCTTCTATTCGACCCGTGAGTATCGGATTCTCCAGGCCCTACTTTCTCATTATGTGTCCCAAAAACTTCAGCTGCCACTTTCTGATTAGCCTTCTCTTTGTTTGCATCCTCTCTAAGACCCCATCGTTGCTCACACGCTTGGTCCATGATATCCTCAGTATCCTTCTGTAGAACCGCATATACGTTGCCTAGAGTTTCTTCATCTTTGAGGAAAAAAAAAGATGTCACGTAACAGCTCAGTATTTTCTTTGTTACCAAAGAAATCCTTCTGTCTCGCAATACTCTGCCCAGCTTTTGGAATGTGTCCTTGGTAATCCCAATAAAAAGCTTAATTCTTTGTTTCATCTGACTAAAGAACTAACAACTAAGGGTTTGAAATGCTGTCAAGATGATCTTTACCAAAAGATAAATTCCCTTTTACGTGCCCGTCTTGGAGGATTGAAACCTTTTCTATTTGTCTTCCGTGAACGCCATCCTTATGCAGTTTGCTGAAGTGGCTGCCGATATATTTGTATGTGTGTGTATACTAATTCCTTTTAAGACTGTATAGAGTGGAAGTGTGCGTATACATACGCGCACTGTTATATATACACACACACACACACACACACACACACAGTAACTATCTTGTGTCGGTTTCGCGTGTGTACATATGTGTATACTAATTCCTTAGACAGTATTTATATAGAGAGAATATACTTACGCATGACGGCAAAACACACAAAAAATGGAAATAGATCTAAGAAAACGCAGGGGTCATTAAAAGATAAGAATACAAATATCTTTCTCCCACTTTCTCGGACCAATCTTAATTGTTTTATTACTCTTCACGCAGAATTGTTTCAATGCCAGTTCAAGGAAGACATTTGGGTCACTAACATACAAAAAGAGTGTCTAATTTCGAGAATAACAAAAATTCCTTTTAATATGTGGAAATATCCACTCATTGCCTGATGAAGGTCGCGAGACACGAAACTCGCGTAGCATAAGCTCTTCTAATATATATATATATATATATATATATATATTACTAAGAAGCGAAAACAAACAAATAGCAAGAGCACCGAATCATGTGGCAGCAATATTCTAATCATGGACGAATGGTAGATTTAGAGATAGATTCTATATTAGTTTTTCAAAACACCCAAAATATTTTTGATTTTCGGATAATTCTTGACGCATCTGATAAACTTTCATGCCACACTAGCTTACAGATTGTCTCCCCATTTGACCTTTTTGAAGCTTGTTTTTTTTTTTTTTTTTTGTTTTTTTTTTTTTACGGTTTGAACATTGATTTCTTGTTAATGCTTTCAACTATTGGAACTCACTTGAAATTGCTTCGATAAGGCTTTGCAGTCTTTCCCCTGAAACCTTGTAACCTGGGGTCCTCACTAAGTTCTCTTATTTAACCATGGTGACTGAGTTTTTTGTTTGTTTTTTTTTTGGGGGGTGTTTGGTTTGTTTGTTTTGTTTTTTTTTGTTTTTTTTATTTTTTTTTTATTTAATTTCAAAAGCTATCTTTTATTTAATTCTGGTTCTAAAGCACATGGTACCGAACTAAACTTGTGTACATTTATTTTAAAGGGATTTTATTTTGATATATATTATGTGGCCGAAGTGGAAAAGGCTGGTTTTCAGTCTATCCCTAATCCGATCCAACATATACGACAATACTACATCTTTACCGGGGCCCTATTAAAATACGGATGCTATAAAAAAAAAAAAAAAAATTAAATATATACTCCCCCGCCCAAAATTTTATTACAAAAATAGATGAAAATCTATCATGAAATTAAGGCGGGGGAGGGGGAAGAACTTAATAAGTAAAATAAAACTAAACCAAAGCAACCGTTCAATTTACGTAAATTGGCAACTCTCTGATGTAAAGGAAGAAAAATCAAATTTCTTTCTGTATTGTTCATTTGTTTTATAAGAGAAAGTAATAATTTGGAAACATGCTTTTGTAATCAAATTTGCAAATAAACTATTTTTGCTATATTATTCATTGTCTTCCCCACTCCACATAGTTAATTCTTTTGAATTTTGCAGGTGTATTGATAATCTCGGGGTTTAATTATATTTCATAGCTTTAACTCGTTCTGCATAGTGTAAATATGGGCTTAGGAGCCCTAAACTCTAAGCATAAATTCACCCCGGACAGGTTGACATGCCGTTAAAACACACCAACCAATCTTTTTGCACACCGGAAAGAACTCTTATCCTCGCAGAAGGGCGTTGTTGAGTTGACTAATTCTTCCCTCAATGAATTCTCCTCTTACATTTGTAAGACAGTGAAGGAAAGCGAGAATGGATTAAACATTAGCTGCAAGAAGACTTGAATGCATGTTAGTTAGGAAAAGGATGATGCCAAAATGCAAATTACGAATCGGAGAATCCAAAATCGAACAAGTGAAAAAAATCTGGGAAATGTTTTAACAGGACGGAAAATGCGATACTGAAATCCGAAGGTTTAATGGGATGCGTTCGAAAAGCTAAGAGTATTTAGAAACGGGAAAACTTCGTTAGAAACACAGAAAAGAGTACTGCACTGTTACATATCTGTACTCCTATATGGTAACGAATGCTGGACAATTTCTTCAAAGATGATGTTTGAAACAACAAATATGTTTCTATAAAATGATGCTAAGGATACCACGGACAGAATATCTGAGCAACGACGAAAATGGAAACAGAAGGAAACTTATACTTTAATTAAATTACTAGGACACATAATGTAGAAAGAAGGCTTGGAAAATCTTATACTCACAGGACAGATTGAAAACAATGAGGAAATAAACGCATAAGATATTAGTGAGCGTAACTAACTAAATTGATGGTGAATCAGGGTCATGCACTTCAAGACAGGGGTTTATAACCTTGTGTAGCAGAGAAATTTCACAATCTGATTCTTTTGTGTCGTGTATCTTCAGAATGGCCAATCATGGCTCTCCACAAGCTCCTATCATTTTATTGTTCTAAGTAAGTTTTATACCTTTTACCATCTCTCTAGTTCGTATTCTACCATCCATTTTATGCAAGCTCGTTAAGTCGTTGTTTCCGGCCATATCATAAAACACCGGTTCGCTTACGATCACAGAAGTTGAGCAACGTCGAACCTGATCAGTACCTAAATGGGTGACTGCTTGGGAATACCAGGTGCTGTAAGCTTGGGTGTGCGGGTGGTGTTATATTCACTTACGCGCAAATACCCTTGGGAAAGGTATGAATCTATCTGTTCTCTCCCTCGGCTATGGATTAATTACTAAGACATTTAGCGCTAAATCATTAAAGAAAACAATAAAAATATTCTTGGTATCTTAAAATATTTTCTGGCTTTAAATAACCTGCAAAGGGTTGATAAGCCGTAAAAACAAATCAATCTATCTACTAATTAAGCAGAAGAAATTAAAAGAAGAAATTTGTAAGACTTGTAAACCATTATCGCCAAAATATATTCTTACAATCTAAAAATATTTTCTGGCTTTAAATAACCTGCAAAAGGTTGATAAGCCGTAGAAAACGAATCTCTCAGACCAAACCTTTCTAGAACCATATTTGCTTCTACTGAGTTCATTACTATCTTGAATTGTCAATTCGCTATTTTCTTATCCAACTCTTGCCTTTAATGTCCTGTGTCATATTTTCTATGTCCTCTTTACTCATGCACCTTTTTATAAATTTAAATTCTTTCTGATTCTTCTCTAAAACCTCGTCGTTTCTCACATGTTCAGTCCATGGTATTCTCATTAGTTTTCTGTAGTACATTTCTGTTGCCTCAAGTCTCTATTTTAGAGGAGGTGGTCCAGCATTCACTATACTACATCGCGTGTTCAGTACATTTTTCTCTATTCCTAGTGAAATTTTACCGTTTCTTAATACTTTGCTTTTTGGAAGCTTTTTTTTTTTTTTTTTTTCTTTATCTCGATGCGCCTTCAGATTTCGATGTCGCATTTTCCGCCGTCTGTTAAAATATTTTCTGCATATCTAAATGTTTGTACTTTGATTTTGTTGGTTCCAAATTGTAATTCGCATCTTGGGTTTTTACACTTGCTGGCAACCATACATTGTCTTTTGGTTTAGTCTTTTTTTCTGTGTCATCTGAATATCTTGTGTTAAGATTTTGTCCAATAATAAATTCTGACCGACTCGCTTTGCCGTAAAGGTTGACTGTCTGGGGAGACACCCCTTTCTATATTTTTGTATTTCAGTTATGTGCCATGCTGGATACACGCTTAAATGATTGTATCTTTCGATACATGACTGACGAGGCAGCTTTTTTTTCCCCGCAGTAGGTTGCCATTTTTTTCTGCTGTAGACTAGTTTCCATCCAAGGCTGCCCTGCTATTTACCTATAGCTGGGAGGGGGGAGAAGAGGATTCATACCTTTTCCAAGGGTATAGCACGTAAGTGAATGTAATTCGAACTCGGCTCTCTCCGATTCCTCAATCCGAGCCGCTATCCATTATTCTACCGTGCCTCTTTTTTGTATTTACTGAATTCATTTTCTATCTGCATGCAGGTGGTTTGCTCTCGGTATGAATTTCTATCTTTCCCAAATAAATCAATTTTTCCCATTAGTTCAAACGGTATTTTGTGTCATTACATATTAAGTGCTTTTGCATAAAACATAGATATACATTCTTCTGCATTTGTATAGTGCTTTCAGATATCATTCTGAGCAGAAATATCACATTCCTAGTTCCAGTGTCTTCAGTGAAACTGCACTGTTCTTGTCCTATTTCTAGTCTAATTTTGTGATGCATTCTATTCATTTAAATTCAAATGCTAAATTACATTATGTCGCTCATTAGGCTTGATAGCCTGATGAAGCTCACACCTGCTTTTTCTTATATTGTGCTATGAAAATGGATCTACTTAGGTCTTCCGGCGTCTCAACACTGTTGTATACTTAATTTATTACTTCTGTAATCTTGTCAATGCTAAAATTGTATAAGACTGCTGGCATTTCTATTACAATCCCATCTGGTTCTGCTGCTTTGTTCCTGTTCATAAACAGTGCTTCCAGATTCATGAAATTTCTTTACAAAATGCATGGTCAGTATATAAATGCATACAAAATAATCATCTTCAATCACTTTCCCACTGCCATAATGTAGCTGCCCTGTGTCTTTTCTGTAAATACTTTCATGTTAGTTGTTCTGATGAACATTCCTCTATGGTACATAGACTTTATGAATTTAAGCGCAGAAAGGTCCCATCATTTAGACTTTATGAATTTAAGCGCAGAAAGGTCCCATCATTTAGACTTTATGAATTTAAGCGCAGAAAGGTCCCATCATTTAGACTTTATGAATTTAAGCGCAGAAAGGTCCCATCATTTTTTTATGAATTTAAGCGCAGAAAGGTCCCATCATTTAGACTTTATGAATTTAAGCGCAGAAAGGTCCCATCATTTAGACTTTATGAATTTAAGCGCAGAAAGGTCCCATCATTTAGACTTTATGAATTTAAGCGCAGAAAGGTCCCATCATTTAGACTTTATGAATTTAAGCGCAGAAAGGTCCATCATTTATGAATTTTCCCATGAATTTAAGCGCAGAAAGGTCCCATCATTTTTTAGACTTCATTTAGACTTTTGCGAATTTAAGCGCAGAAAGGTCCCATCATTTAGACTTTATGAATTTAAGCGCAGAAAGGTCCCATCATTTAGACTTTATGAATTTAAGCGCAGAAAGGTCCCATCATTTTACAGTTGAAATAGCTAGATGTAACCGTAAGTTCTATGCTAACAATATCTTCTATGACACTTCTCACTTGTAGAAATCCTTTCTGGCTTCTTGCTTCCCAGTCAAGTCAATTTTTAATGCAATGTCAATCGTTATCTTTTTGTCTTTATTACTTTGCCTAAGAGTTACTGCAATGTCCTTTCTGTGTCTATTAACACTGTCATCTGAATATCCTGTTAAGAATTTTTCCAATAATAAATCCTGGCAGGACTTGTTGTCTCAGGCTCGCTTTGCTGTAAAGGTTGAATAAATCTGAGAAGGCACAGCCTTGTCTTACACCCCTTTCTATATTTGTGTATTTACTGAATTCAATTTCTATCTGCATGCAGGTCGTTTGCTCCCAGTATAAGTTTTGAATTATTCTAATATCTTTCCCAAATAAATCAATTTTTTCTAGTAGTTCAAACAGTATGTGGTGTTCTTTTGTGTTTTTGTTTCTAACGAGATATCTTTATTTCTTAATACTTTCCTTAGATTTTGGAAGGCATCTTTCACTATCGCAATGCACCTTCGTATTTCGGTGTTGCATTTTCATCCTCTGTTAAAACGGTTCCTAAATATTTAATTTTTTTGTACTTGCTGCTTTTTGATATCTCCAATTTGTAATTCACATGTTAGACTGTTTCTTTTGCTGACAACTATACATTCTTCGCCACTAGCGTTTAGTCCTTCATTCTCGCTTTCCTTTGCTACCTTTTTGAGCAGCTTGATGTGGTCTGATAGGAAGCTTGTCTCACTACAACAATTACAACTAAGTAGTGAGTTCAATCCTTACTGGGTGCCCCATACTTTTGGCCTTGTACCAAATCTAGGCTATGCTTAGAAATTCACTTTTACTACCTTCTGTAGGAGTTCCTTTTTGTTTTTTTGTTTTTCTTTCTATGTTTGCTATCAACACCATGTCTAATGTTAAAATTTGGCCACCAAATAAGATTTCTAATTCTCTCAAGATTGCCTCACTGAAAAGGCTGAACAAGTCCAGTGACAAGACGCATCCTTGTCTTACTTCGCTTTCTATTTTTCAGTATTTACTGAATTTTCTATTTGTTTGCCGGCAGTTTGCACTCAATATAAGTTCTTTAGATTATTCTGATATCCTTCCCAAATAAATCAAGCTTATCTAAAGTTTCTTTATCAAACGCTTTTGCATAATCCATAAAACGGATACGATTTTCTATTAACTCAACATTCTGTACGGTAAGTACCTGACTCCTCCTTCTATCGTCTACCTCTTGAAAGAGCTAGATCAGGCCAAAAATGGAGTACTGTTGTCCTATTTGAATAGGAGCTGCCAAGACCTCCTTCTCCAGCCTTGATAGTTCAAAAGCGTCTCCGAGCCCTTGTGGGTGACGAATTATTCTCTACCCTTCAATCCCTCTCCCACAGGTGGGATGTGACAAGCCTCTCTCTGCTTTACCGCTACTTCCATGGAAAGTGCTCGGACGAGCTATATTCCTACTAAGGCAAACCTTCATGACAAAAAAAAATCATGGCCTGATGATCCCTCAATTCGAAGGCGAAACTAGAGTAACTCTGACTTTATTTTTTTTAATTTTTTATTCTATGTATTTCTTGTCTTATAAGGCGCTACCCGTACTTTTATTACCAGGTTCATTATAGTATTTGGGGGTATTGTTTTTTGGTTTTTTTTTTTTGGGGGGGGGGTAGTTTAATCGGCATCGCCTCACGCAACGCAATAAAATCACTAAGACACAAGGTGAGGAACAATTAGGAACAGAAACATTAACAATAAGCGGGAAGAGTAAAGAATCATCAGAACAGTAGATAGCGATTGACATTGCATTTAATTTTTAAAGTTGTCTGGGAAGTATGGAAGCCGGAAAGGAGCTCCACAAGCAAGAAGTGCGAAAAAAAACTGTTAGCATAAAACTTGTGGCTACATTTAGCCAACTCTGCTGTCAATTGATGAGATCTCTACGCCTGTCTAGTACTGTGCTTCAAACAAAGTCTAGGTGTCATAGCGAAGAGCTGATCCGAACAAATACCATGACAGTGGAAAAGTCGTAGGCAACCTTACGGCGGTAGAAAAATGGCTGGAGCTGAGATCGGGACTAATTATATTGCTGTTTCTTCTTTGGATCTTATCAAGGAGCTCAAGAAAAATGGCAGGGGCACCGGACCATATGTTGTAGTAATATTCTAAGCATGGACGAATGGTAGACTTATATCTGTGCAAGATAGATTCTGGAGATAAAAAATCGTCTCTCACGAGAATCAAGTTTCTTACCAGATAAGAAATGGTAGTTGGATCTAACCAACTCCACTTGTTTTATAAAACCCTCGAACTGAGGGATCGTCAGGCCAGATTCAATTCTAGCCCTACAGAGCTTGTAGTACCGTCCTTAAAGTATCGCGATTACGAATCCCGTGACCCATTAGGGTCTTAGGGGTACCACGTGGTGTTTCTTGGGTAAAAGCTTAACCCTCTCCAGGCCGGTTTAAATTCAGCTTCCATCTTCTAGACCGGTTGCCACCCAAGGCTATAGAACCCGGTCTGTCCTGCTATTTACCTACAGCTGGGGGAGAAGAGGATTTATACCTTTCCCAAATATATTAGAATGTAAATGAATGTGACTGGAATTCGAACTCGGCTCTCGGATTCCTCTATCCGAACCGCTATCCATTACTCCATGCCTCCGAATAAGTATACCAAGAGGTCAAATTGTCCAAACAATATTTGGGATATAACTTTCGAATGTACAAGTGCATATAAACGTGTAACATAAAATAAACGTAATATCGGATATGTTAAAACATACCCAAAGGTTCACATAACTCCCAAATCTTCTAATCTCTATCTCGGATATATTCTATCTCTATCTCTACCCATGTTCTATCTCTCTCTCTATCTCTCTCTCATCTCTCTCCTCTCTCTTTTTTTCTCTCTCTCTCTCTCTCTCTCTCTCTCTCTCTCTATATCTCTCTCTCTCTATCTCTCTCTCTCTCTCTCTCTCTATCTCTCTAGGAATCTCTCTCTCTTCTATCTCTTTTTTAAGACCTCTCTCTCTCTCTTCCCTCTCTTCTCTTTTCTCTTTTTTCTCTCTAGTCTCTCTCTCTCTAATGATCTCTCTCTCTATCTCTATCTCTCTCTATCTCTCTCTAATATCTGATGGCGTTACTATTTTTTGACCCCAACAGTTTCCCTTTTTTTTTTCTTTTTTTAAGTAGTAAATAATGATTTGCGATGTGTCCGTACTTTTGAAAGAAAATTAAAATTAAAAAATTTTTAGTAAAGGAAAGAAAGGACTACGTCCTGTGTAAGACGATAAACTACATCCAACAGCAAGACATTGAGGAGCGTGGAACCATCTCTTAATTGGTGTTCTCAGGTCCACCCTGGCCCTTTGTAGTAGCACCTGTTAGGGTCTCAGCTATGGGGAAATAGTTTGCCCCCCAAACTGGGGTCAAAACAATATTAAAGTGTGAAAATAGGTTCTAATACCAGGAATATTTTGTTATATATATTTGAAGAAAAAATTATTACCAGCAATAAAAATCTTGTCGGCATTAAATAACCGATTGAGGTTGATATGCCATGAAACAAACCAAAGAAAGGACTAACCAACAATTGTAAGAAGACAATGTATGGTCATAAGCAAAAGGGGCAGACTAAAATGCGATCTACAAATTGGAGACGTCAAAATCAAACTAGCATAAGAATTTAACTATCAGGGAAATGCTCATATCTGATGGAAAATGCGGCACAAATCCGGTGGAGCATTAAAATAGGGAAAAATGCCTTCCAAACATTAAAAATATTACGAAGCTGGAAAATTTCGTTGAAAAAAAAAAAAAAGATAAGTGCTCAATTGTTATGTAATATCTATTGGACGGCAGTGAATTGCTGGACAATTTTCTATCAGATAAAGAGACATTAAGTAGCAGAAGGATGCTGAGAATAACATTGACATAACATGTAAGCAACGAGGAAGTTGTTTCGTTTTTTTTTTTTTTTTTTTTTTTTTTTGTATATATAGGAAAATAGAAACATTTGTAATGAGAATCCTCGGCGATGCATAATGATAGTGTCAAATTTTTCAAATCCTCTTCTAACAGGACACGCTGAAGGTAAGAGGCAAAAAGTGTGTAACGGGCTTGCGTAAATAGATAGGAACATGGAATCGGAGGACGATAGTAAGGGGGAACAAACATTGCTTAGAGCTAGGAAGTTGTGGGTGCAGCGCATGATCACCGACATCTTGAAAGAAATCTGCACTAAAAAAAAAACTGTCTAGGTAGTAGGGTGTGTAATTCAGAGAAGTGGCAAAATCAGCAACGATTTAATTTCACTTCGTTTTTATTTGCTTTTTATGGCAGCTTTACACAGGCCATCGATTCTACAACGGCGCAGATCGAAAAGACTCTTGTCCCTTTTGCCCCGAGGAATCCGAGTAAACGCCCAAGCCGCTCTAACTGTTAAGTCACGAAAACCTGACGGCTTTGCGAAGAATGAATCTAATTATTTAAACACATAACTTTATACGTTGATCTTTTATCTGTACTTATATATAGCCGTTAGTTGTGCGGAGAAGGTAGTCAGACATAGGTCAGCAACCTTATACGGAATTAAGCTGAAATTTAAACTGAAATTCTCATTGTATAATGCCTGATTTGTCTGATTACTATTAAGTGCATTAACAAAGGAGGTTGATTTTTTTTTTTATGGGTTTCAGCACTCTGTGCTATTTAAAGCTGAAACACATTTTGGGTTGTATGAACATTTCTTTCCGAATGAATCTCTCTTTTCTCTCTTTTCTCTTTTTCTCTCTCTTTTCTCTTTTTCTCTCTCTTTTCTCTTTTTCTCTCTCTTTTCTCTTTTTCTCTCTCTTTTTCTCTCTCTTTCTCTTTTTCTCTCTTCTCTCTTTTCTCTCTCTCTCTTTTCTCTCTCTTTTCTCTCTCTCTTTTCTCTCTCTCTCTTTCTCTCTCTTTCTCTCTCTTTCTTTTCTCTCTCTTCTCTCTCTTTCTCTCTCTTTCTCTCTTTTTTCTCTCTCTTCTTCTCTCTTCTCTCTCTTTTCTCTCTCTTTCTCTCTCTTTCTCTCTCTTTCTCTCTCTTTCTCTCTTTTTCTCTCTCTTTTCTCTTTCTCTCTCTTTCTCTCTCTTTCTCTCTCTTTTCTCTTTCTCTCTCTCTTTTCTCTCTTTTCTCTCTTTTCTCTCTTTTTTCTCTTTCTCTCTTTTCTCTCTTTCTCTCTCTCTTTTTCTTCTCTCTTTTTCTCTTTCTCTCTCTCTTTTTCTCTCTTTTTCTTTCTCTCTCTTTTCTCTTTTTCTCTTTCTCTCTTTTTCTCTCTTCTCTCTTTCTCTCTTTTCTCTTTTCTTTTCTCTCTCTCTCTTTTCTTTCTTTCTTTTCTCTTTCTTTCTCTTTTTTCTTTCTCTCTCTCTTTTTTCTTTCTCTTTTTTTTTTCTCTCTCTCTTTTTTTTTTCTTTTTCTTTCTCTCTCTTTTCTTTTTCTTTCTCTTTTCTCTCTCTCTCTTTTTCTTTTTCTCTCTCTCTCTCTTTCTCTTTTTTTCTCTTTCTTCTCTCTTTTTCTCTTTCTTTTTTTTTCTTTCTCTCTCTCTTTTTCTTTTCTCTCTTTTTTCTTTCTCTCTTCTTTTCTCTTTCTTTCTTTTTTCTTTCTCTCTCTTTTTCTTTCTCTCTCTCTTTTTTTTCTCTTCTCTCTTTTTCTTTCTCTCTCTCTTTTCTCTTTCTCTTTCTTTTTTTCTCTCTCTCTTTTCTCTTTTCTCTCTTTTCTCTTTTCTCTTCTTTTCTCTTTTCTTTCTTTTTCTTTCTCTTTCTTTCTTTCTCTCTCTCTTTTTTCTTTCTCTCTCTCTTTTTCTTTTCTTCTCTTTTCTCTTTTTCTTTCTCTTTCTCTCTCTCTTTTTCTTTCTCTCTCTCTTTTTCTTTTTCTCTCTTTTTCTTTCTTTCTCTCTTTTTCTTTTCTCTCTCTTTCTTTTCTTTCTCTCTTTCTCTCTTTCTCTTTCTCTCTTTTTTTCTTCTTTTCTTTTTCTCTCTTTTTTTCTCTTTCTCTCTCTTTTCTCTTTTCTCTCTTTGTCTCTCTCTTTTTTCTCTTTTTTCTCTCTTTTCTCTTTTTCTCTTTTTTTTCTCTCTTTTTCTCTTTTTTTCTCTCTTTTTTTTCTCTCTTTTCTCTTTTTTTCTCTCTCTCTTTTTTTCTCTCTTTTTTCTCTCTCTCTTTTTCTCTCTCTTTTTTCTCTTTCTCTTTTTTCTCTCTTTTTTCTCTCTTTTTTTTCTCTCTCTTTTTTTCTCTTTTTTCTCTTTTTTCTCTCTTTTTCTCTCTCTTTTTCTCTCTTTTTTCTTTTTCTCTCTCTTTTTCTCTCTCTTTTTTCTCTTTTTTTCTCTTTTTCTTTTTTCTCTCTTTTTTTTCTCTCTTTTTTCTCTCTTTTCTCTTTCTCTCTCTTTTCTCTCTCTTTTTCTCTTTTTTTCTTTCTATTTTTTCTCTTTTTTTTCTCTATTTTTCGCTCTTCTTTTTTTTTTTTTTTTTTTTTTTTTTTTTTTTTTTTTTTTTTTCGCTCTCAAAATACAGTCAGAAATTTTATGAAGAGTGACCGGTTCGAAAAAACACATTTTGAAGGTCGGAACGTTGTGATCACAAAGACTGGGAAAATAGTCCATATGTATGTAATGGCTTCGCCTCTTCCCAAAAGTCCAGACAAACGCAGTGTTTAACTCGAAGATTCGGCCAAAGACAACACCTTACACTTAATGTGACAAGCAATTTTAAGTGGTTTATCACTGCATTCTTTTTCACGTGGCTATATGGACAAATGGCAGATTTAGATTTTGAATTTCGCTACACCTGATTTCTCGGGGGTTATTTATTTAACGAGCTGTTTGAAATAACTCGCCAATTTCTCGCTCCCATTCGTTATCCTTAAAGACCCAACAAAGCCAAGCTTACTACATTTGGTATTCTCAAGCGGTCACCTATCTAGAGCCTGGTCAATATCAAGATGGCTGACCGCTTACGAATACCAGGTTCTGTAAGCTTGTGTGTGCAGATGGCAGGATGGGTAACGGTTAGGAATGAGAGCTAATTCAGTAGTTAGTTACACCCAAATACACTTGGGAAAGGTTTGAATCCATCCATCTCTTTCCCCAGCTATGGATTAAATGGGACAGATTAGACCCTATAGCCTTGGTTAGCAACCAGTAACGGAAAAAAGTAACGGCAGCCTACTGCAGGAATTCTTCGTCCAAGTCGATCATGAATCGAAAAGCGATATGGTCGCCCAAGCGTATATTAAGCATGGCACCGAAGTAAAGAAGGAAGGTTTAGTAGTATTTCTTCAATTGTGTCTCGGTTCATTATGGCAACCCTAATATTTGCTTAATTGTTCCTGTAAACACTCCGATCATCCTGGGTTTGATGTCGGAGTGTTGAAAGTTGACAGTGCTCTCTTCATGCTTATAATTTTTGTAAAACTATACATGACCCTTTTTAGTTAAAAAGATAAATAAAGCAACGTGGGGATAATTTCACTATATATGTGAATTTATGGATAAATACTTCTAGATATATATTTGTTCGTTTTTTCTTTTCATGCACAAAAGGTTCGTTTATCTCCTAACATAAAAAAAATCGTTCGATCATCCTTAGCGGCACAATACAAGTTGTTATTGTGTTAGATTCTGAATAATGAAGGAAAAAAATCCCAGAAAAATTACTACCTTGAAATTTTAGCGCTCTTATACGCTGTGTATGTGCGCGCGCGCGCGCACACACACATATATATATATATATATATATATATATATATATATATATATATATATATATATATATATATATATGTTACTGGATCCCCAAACATGTACATAAATATTTGATTCTAAGCGCTTCACAACCCCGCGCACACACACAAAATAACTTTCATTAATATTTTTAATAAAATCTGCAAAACGACGGCTTAAATATTCACTTTTTAGGAAATATCTTCTGGTCAAGATACTTAACGGAATGGGCGGAACATCTCTTTAATCTGGAAAAAGTATACCGCATTCAATATACGTCGGAGTTTTTATTTTTTATTTTTTTTTTTTTTTTTTTTGTGCTTCTAAAATCCTACACTCCCACCCCTTCCAAAGGCCATAATCTACTTCTGCAAAGAATAAAGTTTCTGGCATGAGACTAACGACAGAGGTCGAAACCGTGTGTGTGATATTAATACAGGAAAAACACCTATGAATACTATCCACCGCCGCCTCCACCGATTAATCTGCTCGCTTGAAGGGAATTGTTTGGCTGGTTGAAATTACTCGCTTGTCAAGAGTCACTTCAGCTCGCCCGACCGCTACCCTCTCTCCCACCCCCACCAGCTTCCCACTCAGACAGGTGTGTTTGTTGACTTCGAATGTGTTCTGGTAAACTCTAGGATCACCTGATACCTTACGGGGTGGGTGAAAGCGCTCCAAACGAAATTTCAAGTTCTCATTTTGATTTACAATCGACTTTGGAGTAGAAAAAGAAAAATGCTGAAATCGGAAGTATTTTTTTTTTTTTTTTTATTATTACTAAAATGTCGTTTCACGGAGCATAGATTGTGGAAATTTATATAAGCTAGACTCTTACCGTGAGCTTATTCATCACAGACCCTTATAACTAAATTTTAAGCTGCACTAAACATCACTACGCTTGTAACCTTGTGCTGTAATAAGCTAAATTACTTTTTATTGTATTCTCTCTTTTAATATATTTTTTAAATGGCTGAGTATTTTATCAAATAATATCATGCGCACCACATTGTCAGGCGGCTGACGTTCTTTTCCACTATACTGGTTCTAATATTCTGGCTCTGTCAAAAGATTTTGAGCACTCTTTTTCTCTTACTTCCGCGCCATAGTGGGTTAATTTATAGTTATCTCTCTCTCTCTCTCTCTCTATATATATATATATATATATATATATATATATATATATATATATATATCGTATTGCTTCAGCCATAGGCTATCGTGACTCTCTACACATTTGCCATATGCCACCTTGGGGGCGGGAAATACAGTGAAATTGCTATCAAGGCTAGAAAGCACAGTACTAGATACTCTGGATAAATTGAGATTTCATTACCTTTTCGGCTAAAAGTCTCACACGCGTGTCAAGGCATCGGAGATATATTTCACGGAAGGCTTTTCATTTTCAAAATGTTCATATTTTTCTGGTAAAATAACCTTCATATTTGACAATGCAATAATGTGACCTTAATTGTTTATTATCGATGAAGGAGTAATGGATAGCGGCTCGGATTGAGGAATCGGAGAGCCGATTTGGAATTCCAGCCGATTCCAATACATTCACTTACGTGCTAATATGCCTTCGGAAAGGTATTAATCTTAACCCCCCCCCCTCCAGCTATGGGTATATAGCAAGACAGGCCGTGTTCTGTAGCCTTGGATGGCAACTGCAGAAAGAAATAGCAACCTACTGCGGGAAAAAATCTGCCTCGTCAGTCATGTATCAAAAGATGCATGATCGCCTAAGCGTGTATCACGCATGGTACTTAACTGGATGATTATCGATGATTTGTTTGTAGTCATATGTAGTCACAAATAATATCGGAATTGTTTTATTTACTTATTTTTTTGTTTAATCAATAGTCAGTCTATCTACGTGATTCCGGAACTAGTTTACTATATCAAGGTCAAGTTTATCGTTGAAACGCTAGTTTCTATATACTTAATCTGATTAACTTCTAATTTTTAAGTGAATTTTAAAGAAAAGCAAAGAAAAAGGCTTAGATAAAATGCTTTTATCATGAATGAGTTTCTATTTTACTAAATTTGAAATCTATCCATCAAGGAGATATATTTTGCGTCTTCTGGTCATAAAACTGCAGAACTCTTCATACCGACTGGCGAATATTTATTTTTCTTGACTTGTTTGGTACCTTCATTTTTACTGTCAATTGCGAAGTGAATAAAATAAGGATTGTGATGAGAAAAAAAATTCTTTCTACAATCAGCTTCTTCGAGCTTCTTAGATGTTGATGGTATCCTCCTTTTTAAATGCATTTATAGTCGCCTTCAATAAAACCTTTTGAAATTATAAATATTAAATAAGTTTCTATTCCATGCTCTAACTATAAAAAGGAAATTTTAACATGACATTTTCTTTCAACAGAAGTTTATCGACAAAGAAATGAATTCACTGATGAATATTGGTTACTGAGATAGAACATTATACAAAGGAAATTTCTTATGAAAAATTAACAACGTATATTGAACTGTTATATCTCGTTGAACAATGTACTTTTTAGCTTAATGTTTTATACCTAAATTGCCTTTTCTACAATTAATGTAAAAGTTGTCCAAGATAGTTTGTTCCACGCCCTTTCGACTAAACTCTTAGCCATTTTACAGAAAGCGCTCGAAACCAACAAATTTTCACAATTTTTTACATTCATAAAGACGTACGTATGCAAAAAAACACAATGTCAATCTTGTTCAACAGACGAAACCTCTATTCCAGGGATTGCTGCTCAAATCAAACACACGCGCGTGCGCAAATTAATGAATTTTTAATCACATTGCTATAAACGTTATATTTAGTTCTAAACGCTTTTGAGTTTTTTCTCTCTTCTGTCAATTTACACTAGATATATAATGTTAAATCAGACCCTTACTTTGTGTCCATCCGGTTAAATTGAAATTTAATCGTTTTGTTTAAACAAATAGACATCGAACTAAGAATTTCCTCACCTGAAAGTAGTTTTGGCAGTCCATTTTTATATATATATATATATATATATATATAATCTTCCTGCTCACCGTCAAATTAAACATTGTTTTTAAAAGAAAGTTTGTTACATTTGGGGTACGAGTAATGACTAAGGTGATAGTCGCAAATTGAAGACTTCTGAATCCCTATCTGACGCCCTGTCTTCACAAAACCATAACTTAGTTTCGTGGGCTTCATGCAGTAATACGAATTTAATAAACACTTTATCTTTCTATTTTTTTTGTCTTTGTATTTATTTTTTTTTTTTTTTTTTTTTTTTTTTGTCTTTGTATTTTTTTTTTTTTGTCTTTGTATTTTTTTTATTTTATTTTATTTTTTCTTTGTTCAAGAGCTCATTATAGTGAGTTTCTAAATGAATTATGGATAACTGTTCACGCTAAATTTGAAGAGTTTAAAATTGCAGTGCTCCTCCCAGTGTTCCACAAAGTAGCAATTCTTAGAGACCTGTTGGACTCCCTTTCTTAGCAATGGCATCCGGAGGGAATGATGTTAGTGCCGGTGTTAGCTGTAAACGTCTACACATGTGGAAGTAATTTAGCGCGTCAGAACATTTTCCACGGAAATCGTCCATTGGAGAAACTGTCTGTAGAATGGACAAATAATTAATCGCCCACAAGTTCGCGTAAACGATGTTGAACTTTCAATGGTGGAAAATTGGGTAGTTTAAGATGTTGTAACGAGATATAATATATATTGTCTGACCCGCTTCCTGTAAAGATAGTTTTCGATATTTTTATCAATGCTTTCAAATGTAATGGCATAAGTCACCAGTTTGTCAATGTATTAACATGTTCGTCATAGGTGGTAATAGATTTTTGGATAGTTCGTGCGTGACACATGGTTAGATAGGTCTAAGTCTCCCGGAAAGAAAATGTAATGTTACTATGTCATCCGTTGTAGGGTTGCGTGCTTTCGAAGTCTAACAAATCTTGTTAGCAGACAGGGATTTTTCAGTGCGCTCACGTCTCTACCGAATGTGACCCAAGGCCGAGGTTTAAAGTCAAACAAGATGAGGTAATCCCACACAGAATTTGACTTAATCAGATAAAAACCTAATAGAAAATGTCTGCTTTGAATGTCAGAATTTCATTTTTATCTTAGATGCTCTCGGCGACAAGGCACCTCGGGGCATTTTAATCCAAATAATGGTATTCATTGGGACATTTTCCCCGTTGACGTAAATTTTTACTCTTTAAAGAATTAAGATAGAAGATAACGATTGACACTGCATTTAAATTTTTGAAAATGAAAGTTGACTGAGAAGCAAAAGTTCCACAAGCGTGAAGTGCGCGAGAAGAATCTGTTGCATAGAACTTACGGTTACCATTTAAACCTAAAATGATGAGACCGAGCTGCTAATCTAGTACTGCGCTTAAATTAGTAAAATCTAAATACCAAAGAGGAAAGTGTTTTTTTTTTTTTTTTTTTTTTTTTCCTTATCAGAACAATTACCATGAAATAATTATAGAAAAGTCGCGGAAGCTACGTTACGGCGCTAGGAAAGGGGAATGAAGTCGAGATGCCAGATTGGGACTAATAATATTGTAGATTCTTCTTTGGGTTTTATCTAGACTCTGAATACCTATGATTATCGTGTAAAAAGTCGCAAGCTCAAGTAATATGATTGTTAGAAGATATGTTTATGCATTCTTTTTATAGATACAAATATTTAAGTAAATGCTCTGTTTTTATAATAAACATTTACCGGCCTGAATGTCCGAGAAATTTTCACAGAAAATATTCGTCCTCCGACAGGATTCGAACTTGTATCCTATACGGAACCGTCATTTAGCTTTACCGATTTGGCCACAGGGGCGCGTTCGGATATATATATATATATATATAAAAAAGCTTATAAAAATCAGCCGCAATTATATTATCAATTTCCCTACAAAGAAACATTTGGCATTGACCAAACAACCAGTACTGCTTTCAGTTGAAATTTATGAAATCTTTCTCTTAACCCATTACCTGTCAATTATTTTTAGCTCAGACGATTTTTTTTTTTTTTTTTAATATAGTAACTAAGAAACTAAGGCACCTTGAAGTACTCAAGCGGTGGATAACAACTCTACCAGATGTTTGAGTTGACAATTACTCAATTTCAAGTTCAGAAGGGCATAAAAAGAATCACAATCGACGTATAAACATGTCTGCAGCTGGTTTTTGAACGTTATGTTTTGGACGTGTTTATTCGTCCATATCCGAAAAACGCCCTTTCGGTAAAAGCGTACACATGTTACGTCGGGGAAGGGGATTTGGTTTTTCAACTCCAGTAACTGTTATCGCTCTTTCTACTATTGTTGACGGGGTTCGGGCTGCTTTCTAACCTTTTTTTTATTTTTTATTTGAAGTAGTGTGGAATGTAAATATCTTGTCATTTTCTCTTCAAGTTGCATATGCTATCCATTTTACTTAAGGCTACTGTTGTTTAGTCTTCAAGTGATGTTTTCTGTTGTTTGGTACAGTTCTTTGTGAATCTGTAGCGTCAGTCCACAATGTCTAAGTTTTCACCATTGATCTTAGAAGGCGGTTGTATACAGCTGACCGTTTAGATATTTCTGAACGGGTTTGGCGCCATGCATGACATACATATGAAAATCTTGATCTGACTAAGCGATTTAAGAACATGGCTCTAAGTTTTCAGGCCTTTATTTTTATTTTTTATTTTATATATATATATATATATATTTAGCAATTTGCTTTATTGCACAGCTTACTCTATATTAGGTACCTTTTTCTATACTAAATTTGTTATAAATGCCGCTAATATGAGTGGAAAATATTTCGCATAAACACTAAAACTGTAAGAAAAATCAAAAAACTTAGTAGTAAACTAAAATCTGTGTGTAGAACCGGCCTGGAAGAAAAAGAAGAATCTCCTACACTTTGTTTCGTTTAATTTAATTTCGTGGCTGGGGGTTAGGTAAGACAGCGTTCATTAAAGATTGGCTCCAAAAGAGTACAATGTGGACTTTCTCAGCCCAGTGTTTTCAAAGAAAAGCTAGGCTTTTTTTTCTGTAATATAAAACACAATCCGATTTTATATATTTATCGGTCACGCAACCTGAGCTCTCTCTTCTCAGCAAAGAAATACAGATGTTAAAGCAACAGAAAACATTAATCAACATCAATTAACGAATATAGCAAATAAAGATCAGGCTGCTATTACTTTTCAAAATTTAGGTTTTGTGTTTTTTTTTTTTTTTTTTTATAATTTAAAGAAGCAATTCTTTCTTAACCGTGAAACCAAAATTCTATAGATAAAAATATCCTACATTGATCACATGGAAAATTGGGATATATATATAAATGTACCAAGACCATGTGAGAAAAATTAATGACAAAGTGGCACTTTATTCCGCTTTGTCATTAATTTTCATACTGAAAATCTGATAAATTCATCTGCAAAATTACTTACGTATGACCGATATGTTTGTTAGAATGGGTCGTATTAATTCTTTCTTTTTGTTATGCTTGAAAAAAGTTTAAAAAGCAGACTTCTTTCTTAGAGGTTCCAACAGATAATTGTATCAATGAAAATCCAACATTACTCGAGCAGATAAACCATATAAAATTAACGTTTTTTATTATACAGTTATACTAAATTATATGGTGTTATCACTTCAGTATCTGACCCCCTCTGCTTTCTTTTTACAAGTAAAATTGAGCATTGCTGCCATATGTGGCTTGGAGCTTTCCAGCCTTGATTGAGTCTGGGATGACGTATTTCCCACTTTACAACCACTTTCCACACAGACGCAATATTGCAAGCCTGTTGTTGTTCTATCGCTATTTCCATGGAAAATATTCAGATGAGGTGCGTTCTTGAATTCTACCAGTTCGTACCTTTACTGCTAGTATGCACCATGCCATTTCCACGGGGGTCAAAACACCCTAATTTCCTCGGTGTTACAAATTTAAGGAGAGATTTCCACTCTGATAGATCCCAAGAAGTTCCCACTTTGTAGAACAGGCTTCCGCGGGAGTGCTTTCCTGAACATTTCAATTTTGATATTGAGAATTGATCTTTCTTTCTACCTCGTCCTCACAATTTTCAATTCCTCCATCCTCCTCTTGTGTTCATATCCACCTACCTTATTCATGATTGCCTTTTTACAAATAACGCTCAACATCCGGTAGGTCTCGTGCCCCATAGATGAAATTTGAAAAAAAAATTTTTTTAAATAAAATTAAAATTAGTTTTTCTTTTTTTTTTTTTTTTTTTTTTTTTTTTTCTTGTCTAATACGAAACTTTTTCTTTCAACTTCATTAACATAATCCAGCCATGCAACATAATGTTGAATCCTCCTCTTTCTCTTCGTATTACATTGGTAATAAGAAAGTTCCATTCAGTTTCTTCCCAATAACAGTTACTTTGTGGAACACCCCCGAAAGGATGCTTCCTTGATCACTCGGATCTCGAAGCTTAGACTAGGGCCAACCTTTATCTATCCTACATCTCTTCATAATCTGCTCTTACGCCTTTAATATTTAACTCAGTAACGCTCTACCTTGAGATGCTCTTGGACGTTGTATTGTGTGAACAACAGTATAAAATATGTAATGTTATCAATAAAAATGATATACTTATTTTGTTTCATATATTTTTTTCTTTTCCAGCTCGAACGGTTTTTATCTGCTAAGGGCGTTCATCCGGATCATGGAGGCAAATCATTTACCATTTGCACAGACGGTCAGGCACACTTGCGCCAGTGCCTGCACCCGGAAACTAGCAAAAAGAACATTACTCTGCCAAAATACATGCACAGTTTTTACGACTTAAGGAAAGAATTCAAAAGATTTTACAAGACCGAAGCCGGTAATATAAAGAACATGTTGGAATGTATCTTTTTTTGTTTGCTTTTATCTGAGGTGGGACAATAACTTCAATGTGCCACGAACATGGGTTTCTACAGTTTCCTGTTTTTATATCATTCAGTAAAGTCTGTGTCTCTTTGTCTGTCTGTGTGTCTCTTTGTCTGTCTGTGTGTCTCTTTGTCTGTCTGTGTGTCTCTTTGTCTGTCTGTGTGTCTCTTTGTCTGTCTGTGTGTCTCTTTGTCTGTCTGTGTGTCTCTTTGTCTGTCTGTGTGTCTCTTTGTCTGTCTGTGTGTCTCTTTGTCTGTCTGTGTGTCTCTTTGTCTGTCTGTGTGTCTTTTGTCTGTTTGTCTCTTTGTCTGTCTGTGTCTCTTTGTCTGTCTGTGTGTCTCTTTGTCTGTCTGTGTGTCTCTTTGTCTGTCTGTGTGTCTCTTTGTCTGTCTGTGTGTCTCTCTCTCCCCCCCCCCAACCATTTACAGAGGCTCGTTCTCGGATGCTGTTTTCCTTTCTCCATTTTGATTTCAATATGTCCTGATAGTATCAAATTTTCTAAGCCTTCCGTCCTCATTATGTGCCCTAGAAATTTCAACTTTTTGTTTACATTTTCTCTAAAACTTCGCCATTGCTCACAATGTGTTCAGTATTCTGAAGTTGGTTCTGTGTCGCGTCAGAAGGTTTTTCTCGTCTGAGTCCATCCTCCAAATCTACTGTTCGTCCTTTCATTGAATACTGGTGCCCCTCTGTTCATCTCAAGGTTCTCGAGAAAATTCAAAGACGGATGAGCAATGTGATAGGTCCTGACCTGGCATCTCGACTCTAGTCACTTTCTCGCATACGTGATGTGGCTTTCCTCTGTCTTTTCTACAAATATTTTCATGGCATCAGTTTTCGACTGGTGCCCCGACTGCATGAATTTAAGCGTGCTACTAGGTTAGCATCTCTTGTACCCACCCCTTTTACTGCTGAAACAGTTAAATGTAACCGCCTCTTTTACTCCAACAGCTTCTCTCGCACTTCCCGACAGTGGAACTCCCGTCCTCTTACTTACTTCCCTGATAACTATAATCTACAGAAACTTAAATGTAATGTCAATCGACATCTTCTGATTCTTTGATCTTCATTACCGTCCCTCTCTTTATCCTTTCCACAAACACCCCCTCTTTACACTTACTTTCACTCTCTGTAACTCCTCGCGTGCTAGTGGCACCCTCGCCTTGCTTGCGGTGAAATACTGAGAAAAATGCTAATCATTAATCAAACAGTGGATTATTTATCAAGATATTCTTTTATTGTGCTTGACCTACTGTGACCAATATAGATGTTTATTTTTTTTTTTCTTTTGGGATATCTTTTTTTTTCTTTGGTTGGGGGATTCCGACGACGTCTACTCAAACAGTTATATCCACTAAATATATCTATATATGTGTTGTTCCTCTATTAAATTGTTCGTTCTCTGATCTTAATCTTAAAGTCCCTACTTTATTAAATTTCTTAAATAACTAAGATTCCTGCTTAGCGATGCGATACGCGGTTTGCTTATGACGCTTCCATAAATTGCCTAAATTTTATATATGTACTGGTCGAATTATTTTTTTGTAAGAAAATGGTTGATTTTTTTAAATCCTTGTCATAATCTGTGGAGGAAAATGATGCATTTCATTATTACTCGGTGATCTTGCCTGTATGACCTCAATCTTCTGACTTTCTCCTTCTCTATTTTGGATAGGAGTCATTTAATTTAAGTCAAAGGGGAAAACATTTCAGTGGAGGATGTGCCCCCGACCCGAGGCTTCCTTTGATCAAAATGAAATATACTTACCCAAGTACCATGGGTAATGTAGTTTCAGAATTTTATATATATATATTATATATATATATATATATATATATATGTGTGTGTGTGGTTATGGGGGTGGTCTATCCCCCAAAACCTTAGGAAGAGTTCGATAACAAACAAGCAAACACAAAGGCTCCAACTTTTTTATATATATATATATATATATATATATATATATATATGAGAGAGAGAAAGAGATGTAACTGATATTAGAAGGGACATTCCACATTTATTTGATATTTATGTTGGTATGAGAATTCTTTATTTTAAACATTTGAAAGATGAACAATGACATTAACTTTGAAAGCGCACATGTACTTTGTCGATATTTGATCAATGAATTGAATATTTTTTGTCTGAATTTTGTTACTCACTGTTATATTTGGACTATTCACACTTGTTCGGCTGTTGTACCATTTGGCTACCCTTTTTGTGTCTGTATATTACAATGTTAATCTTTGTTCAGATAAAGGCGTGTGCGTTCATTTCCATATACAACTCATCTATGCTGGTAAAATTCATTGATTCACTGGAAGGTCACTAGTTCAACGCATTCATCAGAATACACCGGAAATGTACATGTCTGATCAGATGAAAGTTCAACGTTTAAAAAATATTCCAAACACCTGGTCACTAACAGTTAGCTATAATTATAAACCTAGTCCCTGGAGGTCTATTTCCCAGGCAGTACCTTGTTATTGCACTAAGTAGTAGTCGAGCGCCTTTTTCCGACAACTGGTAAGTGGTGATGGTGTCGGTGGTGGTGGTGTACTTTATTCCCGATTCATTGATCGAGGAAAGCTAGTGTGTGCAGCAGTCGAATTGTTCCTGTTTTACATCATCCTTATCTTTGCAATCCCTTTCGTCGCTTATTCAAGTACATACACTAAAATTTCGAACTCGGAAAGTCGGCCATATCATGACTGATTCTTCTGTGCCGTCCTTTCATGATGTAGGCGATCATGGCTCTCCACTAGGCTAGCTCTTAATTCTTGAAACTGACTTGCTGTATGGTGAGTCAGGCGGGCCCTAATTTTCCACTTCATACTTAAACCCCGTGACATAACGGCTTATTCGACCTGACTCTGGAGATTAGATTATAGGTCTTAAACCTACATTAATGCTCCAAAATATTTATATGCCGTATCCATTAAGTTGTGGACGATTACGACTCTCCACAACCTCTTATTACTTACAGCTCTTAGTATTATTTGTCTATCTCACGTTTTGCTGTCCTTTCACATGTCAGCTGTTCCTTTTGCTATCGATATATATTGTGAGTGCCAAATTTTCCAAGATTTTCTTCGTGGTTCCTAGAAATTTCAACTATTTCTGATTCTAGATGTTTTTTGTGTTTCCATTTTCCTTAATACTTGCTGGTTCCGTTCATAGTAATCTCAGCATCCTTCTGTAGAACCATAGTTCTGTTGCCTGCAACTTTCTCATCTGTGCGGAAACTATCCAGTATTCACTGCTATATGGGAGGATTGATATTAAAGAAGTTCAGCACTTTTTTCTTTGTTTCTAATGTAATTTTCCGGATTCTTAATACATTGCTTAGTTTTTGGAAGGCGTCTTTTGATATTCCAATGCACATTTGGATATTTAAACGTCTGTACTTGTTTGATTTTGATCTCTCCACTTCATAGTTCGCATCTAAGGTGTTTTTTTTTTCTCTTGCTGAAACTTCAGGCATAAACTTTGTCTTGTAGGTTTTTTTTTTTTTTTTTTTTTTTTTTTAAAAACTGATGGTGAGTCACTTTCCTTTACGATGTTAGTTCCTATTATAAAATTTGAACCTACATTGATGGTCTAGACTAATAAATCAAAATCAAGTTGTTTTAATGCAAACGCTGACCTTTTTACCATTCCCCAGGTAAAAAGATTACTTATCACTAAGGTTCTAAAAGCAAGTCTTTCAAATCCCGCTAGAACAACTTGGGTGACCGATTGCAGTACGATATAAGGTATGCATTCGTAGTTTTAAAATCCTGTACAATTCGTTTCGCTGCAACCAATTACTGGAATTAGATATAGTCTGTGCTTTTTTTTTTTTTCCCCCTCTTGATGACGAGGAATGATTTTTCTCTCTTAATGGCAATGCATTTCAAGATGGCTACTGTTTTGGGCCAAGCATCGTTAATGATCAACCACTTCTCCATAGCTATGGGTTAATTAGTGAGACTTGTATGACTAAATTATCTCCCTCCAAAATTCTTGGAATCTAATTATATTTTCGAGCTTTAAATAACCTGCAAAGGGTTTATAGACCGTAATAAACGATCAATCAATTACTTGTTGGTCTAAAAAGCTTTACGAGCCATACTGAACTACTGCTGGTATTAGTGTGTGTGTATATATATATATATATATAGTATAACCCGGATATAAGAGTTGTCGGGACCGGAGAAGAAGTATCTTATATCCGGGTTTGGTCTATATGTATACATTAACACAGGCTCTAATTTGGAACCAGAGAAAATCTCTTATATCCGGGTTTTCTCTGTGTGTGTGTGTGTATATATATATATATATATATATATATATATATATATATATATATATATATATATATTCGCTCTTTACAAGGCCCAGGGGCTACTCGAGGCATGGGGGTTGCGTTGGGGTGGGGTGGGGTCATTTGTATGTATAGGAGTGAAAGATGATGGTTAATCCTGACCTTGAGCAAGTAAAGATTGTAGTGATCGGGGGAAACATCTGTTGGAAGTCGGTTCCACATAGCAGTTCTTCACAGGAAGAAGCTGCTCGAGTGGAACTTGCTTCTCACCGATGGACGACGGAGGGAATGTTGGCGTTTTGCAACTATGTAAGTATGGCGTGTTCTTGCTGTGAAGGTTTGTCTCGGCGTTACTAGGGAATGTAGTTCGTCCGAGCACCTTCCGATGAAGTAGCGGAGGACCAGTGAGAGGCTTGCCACATCCCGCCTGTAGGAGAGTGATTGAAGGACGGAGAATAATTCGCCACCCACAAAGCTATCAAGGCTGGAGAGCGAGGTCTGGGCAGCTCGCACCCAAATATGACAACAGTGTTGCAGTTTTTGGGATATATTTATGTACTAATGAGCTGACTCATTTCATAGTTCACCAATAGAAGGGTTAACCAATCAGAAAGCTCAAAATATTCAATGCGATGTGTATAAAGGCAGCCATTTTGTTTTTTCTCCCAAAAATTATCCTCACTGCCAACCTGATATCGAAGACTTAGACTTAACGGCCGCTACTTTCTCTGATATTGAACACATTACCGACTTCACTGGATTCCATATTCAGAGACTACCTCAAACATGGTCAACAAACAGTATTCCATTTCTGGCCTTATCGGCTCTTGTAAAGATAGAGGATAGCACGAGAAGTCCAGTACTTACTGGAGCGGTAACGTGGGTTGCCCGGGGGTGCGTGGGCATCCCCTATCCCCATTTGAATTGGTATGGTAGATGGCTAAAAGGTGGGGGGAGGGCTTCAAAGGGCAATTTATTCAAGAAAAAAAACTGGCTTACAAAGGAAAAGCATTTTGAATCGGGGAGGGAGGCTTGTGGACAGGGAGTGTGAAACGTCTATGAAGTTTTAACTTATAAGTCCCAATATGCAGTTTTTTTTTTTTTTTTTTTTTTTTTTTTAGTGGATAGACTCCACTGTAACACTAAAATTTAAGGAAAAATAAC